GCCCTTCGCAAATTTGTCATGTGGAGCAGCTTGATTGTGAGGATGATGATGGTGTTTTTGCATGACAAATCATGTAACAGTTGAGAATGTAACATAAATAATAGCGAATACTACGTATGTTTATCTTGAGACAACAAATCATCACTACACGTACAACGCACAAGTAGTTTCAGTGTGCTCGTCGTCCCATTTGTCCGTCGTCCACGTCAATACAAGTCTCGCCTTCGTCACGTTGCAAAAAATCTCGCCTTCGTCAATACAAGTCACTCGCTCTTGCATGTTCTGTATTTTTCATGTCCGCCTTCTTCGGCAACAGCTCGCAGCGTGGCGTCTGCTGTTGCTGAAGCGGCATTTGTAGACCAACCTCATGCAAGAACGTGTTGTATTTGCGATGGGAGATTTTTTGCATGGTCCATACGAAAAGTTCGAAAAGGTTCCGGAGGCGTGCCGGGTGGAATTCACCGCAAAGGAGGTCAGCGGAAAGCTGGACGATGAAGTTTTCTGGCAGCCGATGACAATCACCTTGGGAGTCCGGGACTTTGACTGCTACGAAGAGGTTTTTGCAAAGGGCAAGAAGAACAGCAACTTTCAGTCGTCCTCTACAACTTCTTCCACAAAAGAAATCCGCAAATTCAAGCTCAGCGCGACCACGACCAAGAAGAACGACAGCATCAGCACTTTGACCGTTCTGCTGCCCTTTGTCAAGGTGGGCGACGAAGATGAGGAAGTTGGGGCAACCAAGACCAACAAGCGGATGAGTCAGAACGACGTGCTGGCGATGTTCAAGAAGCAGAGGACGCGGTGATTGAGGAGAAAACGCACAGGAAGCTTCTCAGTATTACTGACCTGCGCTCGGGGTTGGAGACTCCAGTTTGAATTATATTTATTAGCATCTGTGCTTCGTCGTCCTTGCTCATTGATCTTTTAGGTAAGTTTCATCTTCACTAGAGTTTCTACATCACCTACTGTTTCAAAAAAATTTACTTCTGGCCTCATGCTTTGTAGCGCGTTAGATATTTTCGGAGCCCACCGCGGTTCGCTCCTATTCACAACTTTTATTGCAGATTACGCAACACAAATTGAAGCTTCTATTTCCCAGTACCCCGGTGCAGCTGGAAAAAATGCTTATCTTTCCCAGTGAGCCCCGGTGCAGCTGGAAAAAGAGAAGATGATGATGTTGTTGTGCTAGAAAAAATGTGAACGTACTGGAAAT